GGCTCAGGGCCACATGGATGGTGGCAGACACCGGCCTAGAATCCGAGTCTAGAAGGTATGACCCAAAGATCCTAATCAGCCCGTACATTCATGGAACATTCTGTAATGCACAGATGCTTTCACGTAGTATCTTGTCTTATCCTCTCATTGTCATGACAACCCTGTAGTGGAAGGCCTGAGGACCAAATGCCACAATCAGGTCCTTAAAGTCAGCTGTGTTACTGGGTCTCTCTCCAATCCCACCAGTCTGCCAGTAGTGTGTAAAGTGTCCTGGAAGATTCCTTCCTGTGCCTGCAGCAGGGACAATGCCACATGGCCCTCAGAAACAGCAGGTCTCTGTGTGCATTGCCAGTCCTACTGCTGGCTCTTCACTGTGGTGCCCAGAGGTGCTCTCTCTGGCGTGCTCTATATACAGTCTAAAGAACAGCTATTTGTCAGCTCTGATGGAGAGTAGGATCCCTAATACTGACTGATGAATGACATGGTTCTGCTGTGTTGCTTTAAGGATCTCTTGGTGGCTAAGATATATAGCAAGATGGCTTGTGTCTTGGCCAAGATGGACCAAGCTGTCTTCCCAACTTTGGATGACATTAGCAAGGCCCTGGACTCCCAGGTAAGTGAGACAGCTTCCTGTCGTCCCCTCTTAGGATGGTGTATTCCAATTCTTCATCCCAACCTCCTGGGACAATGGTATACACACAGATAAAACTTGGTTCATGCTTGTGCTTAATGCCTATGAAATCCTACCATCAAGGACCCCAAGTTCAGTCCATGGCCCACATAAGTCAATTCATAACCTGATCAATAAAAATTCCATGCAATGACATAATTTTGATGCATTGCAAAGGAATGTGAGCTACCTGTTAGTGAATATAAATTGTTGACTGTAAGATTTAGAGTAAATGAATAGAGGTCTCACATCTCTGTGCCTTCTCTCCTTCCCTGCATACACACCCACTCCCACCCATCATATACGAATGTATCATTTTTAGATGAAAATAAACCAGGTCTGCTGAAACTATCTTTCCTTCAGCCTCTTAAGTGACAAAGATAGTCAGATAAATTAAAAATCAGCAGGACGTCCTTGGCAAGTCATTGAAACATACTGCCATGTGCTTTAGTAACCTGCCCAGATCACTGAAGCAACATTAATATCCATGGCAGAAGAGTTACTGAATTTGTGAGAAAATGCATTTTGAGTCACATAGAAAGAGAGGTAGAAAGTTTTTGGCAAGTGAAACATAATATAAAAATAACACATTATTTAAGAACTATTCTATATTATCACCACAGCCGAGAAAAGCAATGGAGGCTAGAAAGTTATGGAATTAGGAAGTGTTAAAGGAATACAAACCCAGTAACAAAGACACACAAGCTCACTCACAGATTTTTCTAGAGTAATATCATCACCTTGTGGCTAGAGAAAATATTGCAGCTAAAGACAAAACACAAGGGCAAGTTTGGGTTTACAGCTATTTCTGTAAACTGAATTACCCAAGTGTGTTGAAATACATTCCTTGTCTCTTCTTCTTTGCTGCACTGCCTCCGTATGCTGTCTCACCCCTTTCAAATACCACCTCTTCCAGGGTTCAAAGCATTATCCATCCACTCGCGGCCTGACCTACACTGTTTTACCCAACCGGGTCAAGAACTTAGCACAATACGGAATGCCCATCAAGGACATGTGCCGAGATGTTCCTACCTACTTTGCCCAGCAGCGGAAAGAAGGTGTGTTAGGAACTTAACTAGAAACCAAAGACCTTTGGTGAGACAAAAAGGTGCAATACAATTTTTAGGTCATTGACCAATTCTAATGACAATTTGGATCTATTTCATTTCTTTGCTATTCGGTATAAAAATAATATGGCCTGGGATATATTTCCCCTGGTGGCAGAGATGGTCTGTTATCAGGACTGAGAACAGGAAGCAGAGTGAACTTAGCTTTCCCAGATGGTTAGGGGCCGCCATCTCATCAGTGGGATTTGGCAGTTGGTAGGTACCCTCACTTGACCCAAAGTTTCATCAACTCCTGCCCAAGCCACCCAGTGGCTGACATACCACTATTACAGCTATTTGGGGTTCTCACTCCCCCTCTTTCTCTGGTTTCTGAGAGGTTGGAATGCAGGACCTTAGTAATTATAGACCGCACTGGGGAAGGAGCATCTCAGAGTCTGGCACCCCTGCTGGGGATATGGTGGGGATCAGTGAGGATCAGCTTGAAAAGCTACCAGGTAATATCTCAAAACTACTTGTTACTCCAGTTATAGTCAGTAATCTTTTCCCATTAGGCTATTGCCAGTCTCTTGTATCTTAGTATAAATTAACCCAATGAACAAGGCTTTTTCATAACAAGAGGGTCCAGCAGGAAAACAGGGAGAAATTAAAGAATTGGGAGTGTGATTGAAGGTCAGTAGAAATAGAAAAGGGGGGGTGTAGGGCCAATTCTGAAGCACAGGAGACAGCTCCCATTTTAGTCCCATTTTAGTCTCTTGCTAGTAGAGCTTTCCTGAGCATCACATCCGATTTAGGTGCAGGATGTAAGTTATCCACTTACTTTGGGGTCTGAAAGTGACTGAGTAATTATTTTGTAAAAATGCTTCTCTTTCTTCTTAAAGGTACCACGCTGTCAGTGAACCCTGATTCATGTTTTGAAGTCCAACTTCTGAACTTTATGGGGATCTCTATCTGTGGGGAGATCGCTGGGCTCTGACCCTCCAGGTCCGCCATGTGGAGAATGGACCCGCCTAGACGGGATTACTGGCCTGAAACCAGCACTTAGGGCTCAGCACTCCCATCTGCTAATAAAAAGCTTCTTGTTTCTATCATACCTTCTACCTTTTGACCCAAGATCCAGCTTTGTAACCTGCAAAAGTGGGTACTGTTTCTCCTTCTGGGTTAGAACAATAAAGTTGCTTGCCGCACTGGTCTAGCAGATGATGGTCTAGCTCTCTCTGCCTGCACTGTCCTCTCTTGAGTTACTGGCATTCCCCTCCACATGCAGTCCACAAAATTGCAGCCTGTATGGTATGAAAGAGAAGGGCCTCTCCTAGAATGTCTCAATTCTAAAGGCCTCTCTTAGGGTGTCCCTTAAATAATACCTTGATAAATAAATAACAAAAAGATGCTAGCCACTGCACAGACAATCTGTCAGGTCTGAGGCCATATGTCTGATTCCTGCAAATTGATGCTAAGATTCTATGCAAGCCTATTCACTATGCAAACCCCAGCCTGCACCATGCAAACCCCTGAGAGAGATCCAAGTGAAATTAGACCCCCAAGTCCTCCCCTTGAAGCTGGTCTAAACCTTCTTAGTGGTTTAGATACCTTAGTGGAAACTCTTAGCCATTTCTCTCTTCTACAATTGAATAAGGGGCCTGCTCTCTTAGCACTGGTTCTTTAACTGTCTATTACTGTGGCTGGGAGGGACAGAGATAGCTCCACTCACACCACACAGAACATCCCTGGCTCCCCTTACCTTAGACACAAGAATAAACAGAGGAAGGAATACTGAAGATACAGATGGCCACAGAGGTTGTGTTGGAGTTTGGAGCACTTTAAATAGGGTGGGACTGGGATGGGATTGGTCCGGGAGTGAGGAAGATTACTGTGAGTGGGAGAACTCTGGGTGATCTCAGCACCAATTTCCAGGAGACCGAGCTGGGCATCAGCGCTGAAAAGTATGATGTGGTGTGGCTATCTACAGCCATGAATGGAAAGACAATAGCAGGGAAATGTTTAAGGTAAACCTTTGGGCTTAATTAGGATAAGGGTGGAACCTATGGAATTGGTCGCATGTAGCTTATTGAGGTTGAGGAAGGTGGAGATATGTGCATAAACACATTCAGAGTGGAAGTATCAGATGTGATAGGTCAAGGCTGAGCAGGATTAACTGACTTAAAGAAAGCAGAGTCATGAAAAAGTAAAACTTTTCCCTAAGTGACCGTTCAACTATTCAGTAATGGTTATTAAGAAGTACAGGGTTAGGCCCTATTGGTGTGGCTCAATGGTTGAGTGTCAACCTAGGAACCAGGAGGTCACAGATCAATTCCCAGTCAGGGCACATGCCTAGGTTGTGGACTCGATCCCAAGTGTGGGGTGTGCAGGAGGAAGCCAATTAATGATTCTTTCTCATCAATGATGTTTCTATCTCTATCTCCCTCTCCCTTACTCTCTGAAATCAATAATAATATTTTTTAAACAAAGAAGTACAGTGTTAGGCATAGGAGTTGTCGATGAACAGTCAACATGAGAACTAGCTACATGATCTGGAAAATTTCCCACATTATGCAATTTCTTTGTTATATTGGAAATTGCTTCCCTTCTATATAGGGGCTTGGCATTTGCAGGTAGGTTCTTACTTCTGCTGAGATTTTCAGCAAGGTATATTGTTCCCTGGGTGGTGGGTGCTCCAACCTTCCTCTCTGCTGGGACAACGTAATCATGATAGTGTTTATTAAGTTTGAGTCTACTGCTCTGATGAGCTAAAGGGCATGTGAATGGCCCTTGAGGCTGAGTGCTTTGTCAGAGGTGATAATTTCCTTCATTTGAGTAGTCAAGTTTTTGCTAAGGGCACCCCAAATCCATGCCCCTTCACTGGATGGAGGTCAGTGTCACCTGAGCCCCTGCTTCCCCTGAGCTGCCCTAGGATGTTGGACAGACAAAGGGGTAGCTGGTCAGTGAACAGTTGCAAAGATGGAGACTTGCAAACTCCAAAAAGCCTGTATGTGACCCAGCTACATTATTTGAAAATTTTCACACTTTGTGTACTCGACCTGAAATCCTGGCAGTTTCTCTCCTCTATATATTGACATAAACATCAGTTGACACACCTTTGCTATTTACAAAAAAAAGCAAACACTCAGATAGCTGTAAATGTAGTATTTATGTTTTGCTACTGAATCTCAAAATTAGTTGGGGTTTTTGGAAAGAATTCAATTTGTCTTCTGAAGTGAAACCAAAGGGCGTGTTTCTTTGAAAAGATGCAACCCATGGGCTGATGTTTAAACATCGATGCCTCCACAGATGGAAATCCCTAAGATACCCAGGAGCCCAGCCTTTACGCAGCCATGAGCACCGGCATCATCTGAAAAGGAGGAACATTTTTGATTAAGAAATACATTATCAGAATGCAACAAATCAAAGCCTTTTGTTAGTGTCTTGACTAAAGGTTGTACATGCAACTTCATGTTACCCAAGATTTTTGCTGTACATGTACTGCAAAGGATAATAGACTGACAATTCATGGAAAAGATGTCTGTCTCCGTTCAGTTGATGCTATGCATTAATGACATGCTTTGTATCTTTACTTACAAATGCTAATGACCCTACAAAAGAAAAGTGTCTTAACTAAATTATTTTTTCCTGGGCAATAGAAATGTATTGAATGCTAATTCTTTTTGTCTTTATCTACCTCCCACAACTCTAGGGGATTAATGTTGTTGTGTGCAACATCTGTGGCCCAGCCTCTTTGGCTCTGGCCTCTCTTCCGTATTTAGAAACTATGTATAAAAATATCAGTAAAGCCCAGCCGACCCATGAACTAAGAGGTCACCACTTCAATTCCTGGTAAGAGCACATGCCTCAGGTTTTCCTTGACACCCAGGAATCTTTTTTATATTCCATTCTCTGTATTAACTGATCAACTTCTCTGCCAGATTATATGTTCCTTGGGGGCAGAGTTTTATCCATTTTTGTATCTCACCTTGCATTTAGCACAATATCCACATGTAGTCAGTATTTAATTCCCAAAGCAAACCAGATCGAGTCATGTTTTATATTTGTATTTCACACAACACCTAGTAGAGTATGGGCACATTAGAGGTTTTAGAAAATACTAAAGGCCTGGTGCACAAAATTTGTGCACAGGGGTTGTTTCTCAGCCCAGGCTGCACCCTCTCCAATCCAGGATCCCTTGGGGGATGTCCAACTGCCCTCCCCTGCCAGCCTGATCGCCCCTAACTGCCTCTGCCTTCGCCCCCACCACCGTGGCTTTGTCTGGAAGGACGTTCAGAAGATGTCCGGTCTAATTGACACATTACTCTATTAATACAGATTGGGTGAAGTTGTGATTTATTCATACTCACGTGGTTTTGTAACCACTTCTGCCTTGTACAAGGGGAGGTGTTTGCAGAGCTTCTCGATGGGTGACCCGAAAAAGAACCATTTCATGTCTGTAAACCAAGACTGCAGCGGGTTGTACTTGACCCAGGTGTATTCGTTGGAGGACATGGTATTCAGAGCCTAGATCAGTATAATAGAGTGGGATTGGGTAAAAATATGTTGACATAATCTGGTATATCTATTCTCAATTGTGACTTTTTTTCCTTTCAGGTTATTAAATAGAAGGTGGTCAGCAATCTCAAGACATCTTCTCTTCCTGACCACTTGGTCTTCAGAGAATTCTCATTATTACCAATATCATTCTGCTGGTGATGACAATGAAACCCAAAGAGGGTGATTCCTATGCCCAAGGTGGCATGAATGGGAGGGAGAATTAAACCCCAGATGTCTAACTTTATGAATGTTTTTTTTTTTATTCTCACTATACTATATTGTTTCTTCGCATGTTGTATCATTGAATATTATAACTTCACTCCTTTTCTTTGCCATTCACTGTTTCTTAGAACCCTGCTCTGAAAAGAGAAGCTGTTCAGTCCTTTCTACAGAAACACTGGGATTTACTACAAGTTTTTGTATTGCTGGATCTATGGTAGAAATTAAGCTAAGAGATGTACTCCTTTATCAAAAAACAATAACTGTGAAAATTAATAAGTGGATAGTAATAAGATATAAAATTATAATCCTTTTCCCTCTTCATTTCTCCATAGTGACCAGTTTTCCCTGGCTCAAGAAAATGGAATATTTAAGGCCACTCCAGAATTACCTTTCTCTCGTAGAGGAACCGTTTGAGTTGGTCCAGAGCAGGGATGGCATCATGGTTCATCTTCATGACGTAGCAGGCTCTTCTGGAGAGGATCCTGGATGCGATGTAACCCTGAGGCAGCAAGAGCACAGTTACAGCCCCTCCCTATTCCCTGGATTCTGAACTTGGTGAGAATGACGTGTGGACCTTGAGAAAGCCTTGAGCATGCACAGTGAGTGCACATGACTGCTTCTTAATCTGCAACAAACACTACCCATTTAACTTCTTTGACGTAGTATTTTTATTTCTTCACTTGTAATCTCTATCCCTTAAAAGAGGGCCACATGATTTGTTATGGAATGAGGGTCTACAGTTTGCAATGTGAAAGACTGAGAAGCAGCAGCTCTCTGTCTCTATTGATTTTGTATAGCCTCTCCTCGATTTGGAGTACATACAATATTTTTTAGAACTTAGCTTTCCAATATGTTAGCTATTAGGCACATGTAGCTCTTTAAATTTAAATTCAATACAATTGAAAATGTACTTCCTCTGTCACACTTTTACCCATGCACAGAGCTGTGCACTGTGTTTATAGGTAGATTGTTGTCTTCACAGGCTCCATAGCAACAAGGGCCAGCTGCTTCCCTTTTGGGAAATGCAGATGTAGGTCATTTCCACCATTGTAGAAAGTTCCATTGGACAGTGTTGGTTTAGAAACTCTCTTTAATATACCCACGCCCACCCTCACCCCCCATACATACTTGCTTCATCTATTCTTCCCTTCTCTATCACCTTCTCTCCATCTTTTCTCCACCTGTAACCCAAGCTAGTTGGGTAGGGATTGGGTTGGAAGAAGGTGGAATTGAAAGAGCAATGGAGGATGAGGACCTTGGAACCAGAAGGAACCTAAGAGCACTTAATCTTCATCTAGAGTGATACTCTTCAGAGTTCCATAAACGCTTCTGATTCCTATTTTTCAATTCTCACACATTTTCTGTTCCTAAAATTAAAAAAATATACTGAGACCAATGGTGATGATCATGGAAGAGGCATAAATCCTTACCACTTCATTTTTTTAAAGGCACTTTTGGGATTTTCTTGACATCTGCTTAAAAACAATTTCAGTAGAACTTCCTTTTAACCATGTTTCTCAAAGACTTTATACTTTCAAATGTGTCCTGGAACTTCCAATACCAATGGGGAATAAACATGTAAGGATGCTTGCACAAGACAAGAAAAAAATGTGTTCAGAGCTCTGTGCCTGGGTAAAAGCAAACTCATAGTTACGGTGAACAACCAAAAAATAAGCAAATAATTCACAGATAAAGGACAGAATATGTTTTCTGAGCAGGTTTCTGAGGTTTTTTTTGTTAATAATAGTAACTAAAACTTGGAAATAGTTTGGTGTTTTAATTAACATATGGAAGAAGCATACTTACAGAAGAAGCATGATTTATTATGTAGCCTACATGCAGAATTAAATGTGTATAGTTGTTCTGGATTTCTGGTCATTTGTGACTGTTTCATGATGGTTTTTTTTCTGAACAATTTTTTGTATGAGAAACCTCAATTCATTCATTTATTTATTCGACAAATATTTTTTAGAGTCTGAGTGCTATGCATTGCTTGAGGCTCTGTTCATTCTTTCTGAGCCTGTAGCGAGACAGTATCATCATGCTCTCAATTTCCACCTGACATAGGAAACATACAAGTAAGTGTGTATTCCTATGTCATGTTTTTTTTTTCTCAGAAATGATTTTGTTTGTTCATCAATAGCTTGATTATTTAAAAAGAAAAAGAGAAGTAAGGACATTCTGATGGACTCGCAGGATAGATTATAGTATTCAAATAATATAAAAATTCCCTTGCAGCTTACATGTTTATAGTCAAAAACTGTGGTAGAGGAGCACGATCCAGCATGGATGTTAACGATGGCAGTGTTTTTTTCATTGTCAATTGTCACTGTCTCCTGAATGTTGCCACCATTGTTGTTTGGGCTGATGATGTTATAAACCTAGATTGACCACAAAGACAACATGGTTTTTCTATAAATCACATGCATTTGAAAGAATCCCTCCCAGCAAAATAGAGCCTTATTCTTCTATGAATAAGAAATTGAAGCCTAAAACCTCTCCACTGGGATCTCAGACCAAAAGCACATGTTAAAATAAAAATGTAAAACTCTTTCTCATAGTGGACAATTATAATGGAGAAGCAATCATATCACAGGAAAGATGAATTAACTATATTGTAAAGCAATGGTTTTTTTTAAGGTTTTGGATTGGAAAAAAATAATCAATTTCATTGCTTCCATTACTGGTTATTTCTGGGATTCTATCCCAAATAGGTCGTATGGACTCTCTACTGTCCTTCAGATTATCTTATATCTTCCTTTTCCTCTCCCAACATTTGTAAACTAGAAAATCCGCAATGAATCAATTCACCTCATATCCATGAGATTGTGTTCCAAAGATGGCCAGCACCACCAGAAATAACACCTGAAAAACAGACCAGTCACTTTCATTCCCAAATAAGGTAACCATTGAAGATAGAGAAGTGAGAGGACACTGGACAAGACAAGCATAAATATCTCATAAAATATAACCTAGAGATACTGATGTGTGGTCATGGATGGTCAACAGTCTAAAGTATAAAACACACACACATTCACTAGATTGACAGGTATTTATTGAGTTTTTGTCACTCAGTTTTCAGCCCTTTTTAACATCAAAATCTTCTACATAGCATATATTCTTATGCCAGGAAGAATTTAGGGCAGGTGAGAAGTGAGAAATGACTGATTTTACAATACTATGGAAATGCCTTGGTGTGGTTCATTCTGGCTTTGGATTGCAAGAGGTCAATTTGTGTCCTGTAGTATAAAAAAGGGGGCGGTAGAGGAGGACCTGGCCAGTTTGGCTCAGTGGATAGGCCCTCAGACTGAAGGGTCCTGGATTCGTTTCTGGCCAAAGGCATGTATTTCGATTGCAGGCTCAGATCCCAGCTCATGCTTGTGGGAGGCTACCAATCTATGTGTCTCTCTCACATGGATATTTCACTCTCTCTCTCTCCTTCCCTTCCACTCTCTCTAAAAGTCAATGGAAAAATATCCTACTGTGAGGATTAACAAAAAGAAAAAGAAAAAAAGAAGTGGGAGGATAAAATACATTGAATATGGATTCACGGGCAACAGACACAATGGATTTTTAAGGGAAAATATGAAAATAAGATGCTTGGGGACATGGCTAACTTTTGAGGCTGACATTAAGGAAAACCTTATTCTACAATCTATGCCTTAGTGTTACCATCAGAGAAAGGTTAGGCCACAGGCCATGCAACTGACACTGAGGCAGTTCTGACCCTTAGCGGTAGTTGTGTAAAAGCCTAATCCAATACCCTGATCCTGGTTTTGTGTTGTCTCCTCTGACATCACAGTGTACCGCACTATCATTGAAAACTGCTTCTGGAGGGAGTCTACTAGAAGGCCAGTATTTTTAAGAACCGTCAGTGGAATTTTTCTACTGCCCCTTCTATATTGCCAATAACATTTCTCTCCTGATGGCTGGGGGTGGAGTGTCTGACAAAGATCTTTATGCAGATGTCCCACCTGCCAACCTGCATAGGCACACATCTTCTCAGACTCCTGCATTGAACATCTTCCCCCTAGTGGTCAGTGTGCATCATAGAGACTGGTCATTCTGCCGTTTGGCCAACTTGCATATTAGCCTCTTATTATATAGGATTACCATTTCTTTTTTAGATAGTAAATGAAGTTATCCTAAAATGCTCATATTCCCTCCAAAGCTCATAATAAGAATTATTCTTAAATATTCTCCACATTAAAATTTTCTAGGTATTTCCAAAACTTTTCCTTTGTATTTTCACTAAATATTTCAAAATATAGACAATAAACAAATAAATATTTGACTTTTCAACACTATTCCTAACAAATACATCATTAAACTCAATCACAGAAGCTTATAAAGCATGCGCAGTGCTTTTCTAAAAACCTTGAAATCTAAGGCATATTGAATATGAACATTCCCTGCAGGCAGCCACCACAAGAGTATAAAGAAGCATAAACAAATACTCACAAAGGTTTTCATTTTGTCGGAAGGGAAGAAGATGCTGGAGCAAGTGAGGCTGCCTGGAGCAGCTCCTACCCTTTATATTGGTTTCAAGGTGTGGAAATCTCTTTCCAGGCCCATCACTGTGGAAAAAGCTGTGTCATATCTGACACACCCCAGCAAACTCCTTTATCGAGATTGAGACCCAACCACACAACCTGATATCAATGAAGTTCATTAGTCAGTAGTGAAAATTCACCACTTGGTCACTCTGTAAATATTCCCTGCTTATCTGCTCTATGTTGCACTTGAGAGTTCAATTTCCACCCTTTAAAAACATTGCGAGATATTTGTTTTACACAGACATCTTACTGACATAGAAGGGCATATTCTTAATATCACCCCCTCCCCCTTGTTGGTAAAGTCCTCCCTTAAGATTTGAGTTGGGGTCTCCACTCAGTGATTGTTTGACCCTATCCTGCTTCTTGAATTCCTCCATCCAAGGAATGGACATGAAACTAGAGGCAAGAACAATTGCTGGGGGGCCTCTTTTGAGAACAAACAACCTTATGACTTTAATTGTCTACCCCTTTAGAGTATCAATTTTCAGAGATTCATGAAGAACAGGGCTCAGAGATTTCTCTGCCCAATTACCAGGGTTAACCAAATTTTTACATTAAGCCTTGGCCAAGACACTGTGCAAACTGTGATTTAGAATCTCTAGTTATCTGTGGAGCATTGAGAAATTCTCAGATTAAAAAAAAAGAGAGAGAGAAAATGAAGTTTAATTTGTGTAATTTTTATAATGCCACAGCAGACAAAGCTATCTAGTGTTAGGGTGGGATCATGAACTCAGAAGGTGGGGCAATACAAAAATACACACAAAAAAATTGAAAATTTGTTAAATATTGAGAATCACTATTGTAAGCAAAGAAACAGCATAAATGATGTCCTTGATCTACAACTACAGTGACTTCCTAACTAACAGGATTTTTGAATACGGCTTTTATAAAAGAGACCTTGGGGCAATTTGGGGCTGATCTAGTTCACTGGAATTCTGCTACTTTGGCTGTTCAGCTGTGGTGGATGTAAAATGTGCTACTTAAAATTTATCTTATTTTAGAGATAGAGAGGAAGAGAGAGAGAGAAACATAGTCTTACACTTATTTATGCATTCATTGGTTGATTCTTGTATGTACCCTGATGCTCTAAACAACTGAGCTACCTGGCCAGGGTGCTGCTTTAATTTTTTTAGCTTTCTGAGATAGCAGTAGCAAGAGGAATTACAGTTTTGTAGTATATCCACCACTCTTCTCCCAGGTTTGGCTCCAAAAGTCCCCCAAAGCAAGCCTCACCTATACTACTGGACATGAGAGCATATAGAAGTATTACCGCCTACCCTTTACTTTGTCTTGTCCCCAAGAGTTCTGAGTCTATAGGCTCAATAATGATATAGTTAGCAGCACTCATCATATTCTAGCACTTTCCAAGCACTTTGCATATGTTAATTCATTTGATCTCATAACAGCCCTCTAAGCTACCTTCTCTCCATGTTTTATTTTACATATAGGAAAACTCAGGCGCAGGGAAGTTAAGTAACTCCTCAGCATTATGCTGCTTTCAGGAGCAGGAAGGAATTTGAGCCCAATTTGACTTCACAGTCCACACTCTCGTAACTACTAGTACTATATGCCTTTAGTTGCTATGTAAGTAAAATGTATAATATGCTAATTAGGCCATATGACCTTCCGGACAAAGCCAGGGTTGTGAGAGGATCCCTTGTGCCAGAGGGACGTTGGTGCCAGCAGCCAGGGGAAGGAAGGTCTACTCTTGCATGAATTTCATGCATCAGGCTTCTAGTTGACTATATTTCCCTATGCTGCACTTTACATTTCAATGACTATTCTGTAACTACCAAGTTGTGCTTGTTAATCATTACCTTCACATTTTTCATCCATCCCTTTAACCCCCCTCCCAGAAAAGAATGTTTTTTGGCCACAAGATTGGTTTGGAAAAATCAGGCCTACCCACAACTCGATGGTGAAAACTTAAAAAAAAATAAAAAAATAAAATATATATATATATATATATATATATATATATATATATATATATATATTTATCTTTATTGATTTCAGAGAGAAAGAGATAGAAACATCAGTGATGAGAGAGAATCATTGATTGGCTTCCTCCTGCATGGGATTGAGTCCACAACCTGGGCATGTGACCTGACTGAAAATTGAATTTTGACCTCCTGGTTCATAGGTTGATGCTCAACCACTGAGCCATGCCAGCTGGACAATGGTGAAAACTTTTAAATAGGGGGAATGAGACACTGAATTTGTAAGAGTGTAAGCTTCCCGCTCCCCACTGAGGGGATGAAATAGCTGACATGGAAGGGTCTCGTGCTGGCTGTTCCCACACCTTGGATACTCTGACACTGCAGGTCTGAGAAGGGGCACAGGCTTATGGACTTTTAAAACTCTATGTGGTTTTGATTGAAAGAGCTGTTTCAAATCCTGTTCAAACCTCTTGTGAGGAAACTAAGACTCAAACGGGTTAAAAATGGGGGCAGGTATGGGGTGCAGGGGGTCAATAGGAAAAAAATTAAAGAAAAAAGCAAATAAACAAAAACAAGGTTAAAAATAATAAAAGAAATATGGCCAAGGTCATATGCATAGTTAGTGGCAAAGATTAAACTTTTTCTTGCTCTTCTATTGTTCAAAAAATAGAAAATTAATTGGTTTGTTGCCTTTCTATACATAAGTTTAAGCAAATTTGTGTATTTCTGATACATCAGTTACCTTTTCTATTATAAGACCTGAATCTTCTACTTTTGCAATCTCTCTCTCTTTCTCTATCCCTATTCTCTCCCTTTTCCTTTCTTTCTATCTCACAATTTACTTCTGCAACTCTTTTTTTTTTTTCAGGGATTTACATTACATCACGTACCATAATATAGCAGACTCAACATGTCTAAAGTAAAGAACAAAACCGGTTTGGCTCAATGGATAGAGTGTCGGCTTGGGGACTGAAGGGACCCGGGTTTGATTCCGGTCAAGGGCATGTACCTTGGTTGCCAGCATATCCCCAGTAGGAGGTGTGCAAGAGGCAGCTGATCGATACTCTCTCTCATCAATGTTTCTAACTCTCTATCTCTCTCCCTTCCTCTCTGTACAAAATCAATAAAATATATATTTTTAAAAAAAGAATGTTGTATTCTTTTTCCCAAAGCTTTTTTTTTTTTGACATTGTTATTTCTGTTGATAATTTCTCTGGGTCTGCAGGCTCATTTTGAAGTTATTCTGAATTCTTCTGTCATTTTTTTTTAATTTGGGTCTTTCTCTTCAATACATCAGTCCATACTCCATTCCTTGTCATCACCACCACATACTGTCCCTATCACAATGATTTTAATTAGAATAATTGGCACGAGCTGTTGTAACAAAAAACACATCTCAGCCACTTGACTAAATAAACTTTTATTTCTCACTCACACAAGATCTAATACAGATGACTTCATGGTGGGTGGCTCTCCTCCAAGTGATGACTTATGGCTTCCACCTTCTTCCTTAGGCAGCTTCCCGTCTTCAATCTGTGGCTTCATGGTATCCTGACATCATGGAACTGGCAGATGGCAGTTTAGATAAACAGTATGAGAAGACACATCTGCTTTCTGCTTTTAACTTCTTCAGACTGAAAATGCCACATCTGTTCATTATCAATTGATAAAGACAGTCACATTGCCATGTCTAGATGTGAGGGAAACAAAGCTTAGCCCTATGCCGAGAAGACAAAGCCTATCTGTGCCAAAAGACCAAAATTGGACTTTCTGCTTCCAGGGTCTCCATTGTTTCATCCTCAATAAAAGCACCACTTTGCCTACATTGCTCTTGTGTTCAAACCTTTTTAAAATTCTCCATCAACTCTAAGAGTGGTTGACTCTTAGCTTGACTTTTAACTCACTCTAGTGACTTCTTCCAAACTAATCTCCCCAAATGATATGAGAAAATATATCTAAGTAAAGGAAAGAATATGTGATCATAGAGGCAGAAAAAGGTTCATGTACTCAATTGCCAGAAAAAAGACACTCAAATTATTTAACTATTCTTTTTCTGTCCTTTTCCTCCATCTCCTAGACTCCCCACTTTTTATTATGTTATTTCCTTTCACACTACCTTTATCCATTTTGTTTTTCTTCCTCCTCTCTTTCTTTCTTTCATTTTCCTTCTTCCTTCTATTCTGAGTATGTAGCTTTCTACCTTATGAAAATCATAGGAAGAATATTCTGAAAGCCTGTCTGGTGTTGCTCAGTGGTTGAGCATCATCCTATGAACCAGGAGATCACAGTTCAATTCCATTTCAGGGCACATGCCCAGGTTGTGGGCTCAATCCTCAGGAGGCAGCCAATCAATGATTTTCATTAGAATACTTGGCACTTATCTTTGATATTTCTCTCTCTCTCTCTCTCTCTCTCTCTCTCTCTCTCTCTCTCCCTTCATCTCTGAAATCAACAAAAAATATTTTTAAAGGAGTATTATGAAAGAGACAGAAGGATGAACTAGATCCAATGAATCCCTGCTCGGAGAGTTTGCTATCATAAAATACAATTTAACCATTAAACTATCAAAATATAGTAAATGTTAAGTATCAGAGGAGAGGCACAGTTGAATGTTATGATAATCCAAAGTACTCATTGCATTAGCCATATCTATTGATGACAAGTAAAAACATTTATATTCTTCATTGTTTTATACATTATATAAATAATCACTTATTTCCTTTAGTGACCCTAAAATTCACGTATTTTCAATTTACAAAAAGTTTATACAAATCCATAGGAAGCTAATGGACAAATATAATTTTTAATGGGCAAAGAACATGATTAGAGGAAGAAGAGGCTCTAATAAGAAATGGTGAATAGTTGAAAGTCCAGAAACATCCTACCTGGACCTGAATTTCAACTTCTCTAATTTCATGTGGAAGAAAAGCATAGTAAAGTGCCCTCTCAAAGCATCACTGTGAACATTGATGGCTCA